ATCGATACTAGATCTTGGCAGAGGTTCAACAGGTTTAGATAGGCTTTTAGATAGAGCTCTGCGAAAAGCTCAGTCCAAATCTCTGCCAAGTCCTACTTGATGCCTGATTCAGGAACCAAGTAAGCACCACCAAGTTTATAGAGGGAACCCCATTCCTTTATACACCCAACGAGTGCCATAGGCTGCCCGCTCGGCATTTTTCCAATCCATTAAAAAAAAAAGTCACACTTGATGTGTGTCGCAAAAAGAAATTCACTGTGATGGACACTGTGGGAATTGAACCCACGACCTTTCACAATCTCATATTTGATCTATGCGAAGCGAAAATCATACCCCTAGACCAAGTGCCCGATTTAGAATGTTTTGACGACCCGATTGGTGAACCGCCAGACCAGATACGTGAACTGAAAGGCGGGGTGAATTAAAAATTATATATCGAGAATTTTTTAACCTCACATCGAAGCTCTTTTTCACTAGGTTTTACCTGGATTCTATTGGTTGGCAAAGACATTTGAGCCTGGGGCATTTGAGCTTGGCAACGTGCACAGATCACCTCGTGCGTATTAGGTAAGTAAGTTGGTATTCCCTCCAGCATTTGATCGATTTTTCCTCCTAGAGTTCCGTTCCAGTTTTCCGTTACACCTTCTTAGTGAGCTCATGGGCTTTTACGTTCCATTAATATAGTCTGCTTCACATATTATCATTCAAGTTATGTTCCTCAGCATCTTATTAACAATAGTAATTAAGAAGGCTCTCTTAATTTACGAGCGCTGATTCATCTGAACTGGCTGCTCGAATGGGCGGATCACGAACACGAAATCTAAACCACCGACAGAAGCAGAGTCATTTAATTTTATTAACCATATCACTATCGCTTAAAATCGTTTAGGCTTCCTCCCATAACCTGGTAATTCTCTTCGAACATGGTCTATAATCTGCTCGATTTCTCATCGTAAAGTACATCCATCCGCTGTTCCACTATCCTTGCCCCCCATCTAGACTCTCCAGGCTATTTCTTGCTTGTCTTCTCTTCTGCATACTTTTCAAGCGGGTGCGTCGGGTTGCTTGGCAAGTTTGCCTTCTGTTCGTCCGACGCCTCCTTCGCGTGCTCCGCCGACGGGACGGCACCTAGGTCGTTTGGTTTGGCTTGTGCGTCTTGTTGCTGGGCGCCTGTCTGGCGCTCGGGGTCGGGTGACTGACGGCCGGCGTTCGGGGCGGACATTTTGGATAGTGACTGGAACGGTAAACAAGTTAGACTAGGACATTTGGGTAGACGAGAAGGAGAAGAGAAGGGGAAGGAAGGAATATGAATGTTCAGGAATAGAGAAATCGTAGCTAAGAGACATACTTTGATTGTGATTGAGTGGAAGGGGATATCTGGAGGTGGAATGTCAGTTGGGTGATACTAAACATTGTAGAATTGAGTTAAGACGCGCGGAAGGCTCACTAGGGAAGCGTCTTAGGTTTTGATATAGCAATTGAGCTTTATGTGGCTTTGAGAGAGTAACAGGAGAGTTGTTCGGGGCGTGAGAGATATTAGAATGGCCCCGCGCTTTTGACTATTGAATTGCCCCACGACGACGTCATTCTCCCATATCGAGGCTTGGCGTCGATTTGGGCATTGTTGCATCCAACGACGTCAACGGAGACTAAGCTTCAGGGATTCCAGGGCTTACCGCGCATGGCAAATTGGTTTATTTAGTGTGCGTGGATTAGCTTAGACCGATAGGCATTCTTTGTAATTCTGATCTTGTTAAATTAAATGGGGTATTGTGCATCACCCATCACATCTGTTTTGGATTCCGTTGGAGTGGATTTTTTATTTTACTCTAGTGCTTCAATTCTTTGGCTACCCAACCGTTTCATACGTATCAACTCATTTTACCCATCTCCACATCCCCGTCCCCTAGCTCATCATCATCATCATCCCATCCACTACTTCTAACTCTCCTACCGATCCAAATACCCAACGCTGTCAGCGTACTGACTGCTAGGAACCACCCCTCAAACCACCTCTCTGTAAATCCTGGCTCAAGTGGCGCACCTAAAGCGTCCGATATCACACTTCTTACCTCACTTGGGAGATTGCTCCTTAGTAGGAGAGCAGAACTTATGACATAAGTAGCACTAATCTGAGATACGAGAAGCGCCAGGTTTGCTTGGGCGTGATGCAAGATACCGGGTGCAAGGCGAGCAAATAGTAAAAATGTTTGGAGGACGCTGTTGAAAGATGCGAGTAACATTACACCAGAGAGTAAAAAGGATATTTGTCGACTCCAAGCTACACGATCGAGGGAAGGATCCCAATGTTTAGCCAAGAGCGCGAGTACGTTATTGATGGGATCACTATTTGAGAAGCTTGTATTTGGGGAGGAAAATCGACGGACGGTAGTTAGGCTCGTGGCAGCTAGGCGATATAAACAGTAAATTGCGAATATGTACGAGACGAAATTGCAGAGGCGTCCATAGGGCGTGTGCGCGCGGGCTTGAGCCTGTTGTCGGTTTTGTAAAGATAGGAGTGAATTAGAAAGTGATGTGCGCATGGTTTCAAGCCCATTTATCTCCAGTTGAAGCGTGTTACGTTCCTGGACATCAGCATTGCCACGAATGGTGCCAACCATGCGTGTCATAAAACCTTCTTGTGGAGTTTCTAACATCTTCCGTTGAAGAGCCCGAAGGCGACTTTGCTTAGTGAGAAGCATTTCGTTGGTTGCATCAAGCCCTGATTGCTTTCGGGCTATGTCTGATTCGGTCACCTGAAAAATTGTCAGTACAGCGCGAAAAGGCGTGTAGCATTTCGAAGAGGGCTCCCGCAAAGAGAAGTGAAAATATCAGAAGTTTAAAGAATGGGCGAGGATGTCTACATACTGGCTTAAACTTCACACCAAAAATTTGCCATAATGAACTAACAGCGGCAAACCCGGCGAGTGATGCCATCAGACTTATTCCGATAATACCTATCCTCTCTAGACACCCTTCGCTGATGCTATGGTCCCGTACATAAGATACCTCGTGTAGGTATGATCCAAGTAGACCTTTCCCTAGGTACCAGAAAGCCCATAGCCATATAGCCAGCCCCAAGCCTTCGAGCACCCAAGCCATCCTTCTTTGTCCCTTTCGGGATCCTCCGAAGTTCCATCCTGCTGTAGATATAATTGAGTGAAATTCTAATGCTGGCGTAGCAATAATAAGGAGGAGCAGTAGCGATGGAAGTGTGATCTTAAGTGCCAGACTCCGAGCCGCCGGATTAAGCGCATTTGAGATTTCGCATAGTATGAGCTCAACTAGAACGGCTGAGAGTGCAATGTTGGTCGAGAAGGTAATACCTGCGAGTGTCCTAGCCGTGGGCTTTAGCCGTTTAACATTGGAGGGTTGCTCTCGAAAGCTGAAGCTTGTGGTAAGAAGCTGAGATTCATGGTGGTCTTTACGTGAAGCTCGGCCAGAGAGTAGGGGAAATAGCTTTTGAAAAACCGCAATCGCTACGACGAGGAATGTAAGGAGGAAAGGCAACGAAGAGAAAGCTAAGCTGGATTGCCTCCGTTTAGCATAGTCCGGTACACACTCATCGCAATCGTCGGGTGGGATCATAGAGCGGGAATTTGGCTGTAGAAGGGAATGGGAGATTGGCAGCAAACGGCGGCTGGCTGGAGGTATGCTTGGGATCAGTTCCCATTGATTCCCCAGTGATTGGTGTTGAGGCGTTGGTCATTTCAGAGTCGGGCGATGTAACTGATAAAGTCGAGGTGCGCCTTGCATCACCACCCGCTACTCAGGAACGGAGCGACAGGGCGACGCGGCAGGGTTTCGCCAAGTCCGAACGTTCGTACCCCACACTCGTCATCACTAAAAAAAGCACACCGGATTTATGTATTTTTTACTTCGAAAGTTATAATTCTCTGACCCCCTTTATTATCTGAAAAAAGTATCACCCCAGGATTCGTTACAGTCGTCAAAATGATGCACCTGTTCAGACAGGAAATATAATGCTTGATTCTTACAAGATGCCAAGAACGCGTTACAATTTGTCCGCCCTAATGCGATGCCTACTGTTTCGGTTTCTCTACATGCGTCGAGTCTGTCTTATCTGACTCAACAGGGTTCGGTCTGACGTTTTCTGTCAGCTGGTCCCCCTCTTCCGTAATTAGGCTGGACTCATCGGGTGGTACACTATTTACATCCTCATCTTTATCATTGGATACGTGAGTCGACGTTTCACTTGGTACTGAGGAGTCAGGATCCATCGAAACTCCTCCGTCTTCGTCGACATCTTCCTCGCTACTGCTAACATCGCTCTCAGGCGGACTGTCCAGGTTTTGAAGTTCAGGGCTTTTCATGACCACTCCAAGACTGCGTATATCTTCAGGAGACGAGTCCCCTCCTGTGTATCCACTCCGTATGCTGTCTGGAGAGTCAGGGGAGGCTGGTTCAATTTCTTCGAGTGGCGCAGACTCAATATTCGCCAAGGGACTTGGGTCGAGGTGTGGCCTGTAGCCGATTGCAGCTGCCACTGCAGCGGCTTCGTCCTCAGAAGCTGGCTGACTCTCTTCTTCAATGAGACTGTTCCTATGACTTAAGTCTAAGACATGTCCGCCTTGTGAGCCACTCTTGTCTAATATGTCCTTGTACCCATGTCTGTTGGGATCTAGATATCGCTTTCTCTTAGCCTTCGCTCGTTTCGAGTTTGGTCGAACAACAATGACGGGAACTGGGGAGTGTTGTAGGCAGTACTTTGATACGGATCCTGGCAGTAAGCCTTGGAAGCCACCAAGACTCCTGCCACGCGTGCCGACGATAAGGATTGCCGGTTCATAAAGATTGATCTGATAGTTTTAAGCCGAGTATAATTGCTTTTTCCTGCTTAGCCGTCACTTACCATTTCGTCAATGACTTTGTTAACCTTGCCAACGGAAAACTCCAGTATTAGGTTGATAGCTTTGTTCTCTACATTCTTCGCTTGTATCTGTTTCATTAAGTGTTCCGCATCTCTTCGGTATCTCCCTTGCTCCACACTCGGATCAGCCGCAATATTGGAATCTTTTTCCACTACCCTCAGACAAACTATTTCATCGCCATCGTCGACTAGTTCGTCGATAAGCCATTCTAAGGCATACTCGGAGTAATCATTGGAATCTAAACCGCATAGAAATGTTCGCGATCGCTTCGTGTATTCGTAGTCTTTGTGTTTGGTAATGAGCGTAAAGGAATTTTCCTCGATGAAATCTGCTGGCTTGTCGAATGTGTCAAAGGATACACGAGGTTGGAATACACTGCAATATATTGGTTAGCATGGATTGGAAGTAGCGGTAGCGTGGGAGTAGGGATATAGGCGTCCAAGCCACTTCATATATCT